GAAAGGAAAAAACCCCCCCCCCCCCCAATAAGGCATGATCATGCCACAATTCCTTCTCTATCTCCACCATCCTTTTGGGATTTTGAGCAAGCACACATACATGTTCAGCATGTTTTTCAAGCCGCAATGTCTGGGATTCAAACCACATTGTTAGCCATATGGGATCTGACTCCTGTCACCAGTAGGCCATGGGGCCGGCCCTTTAATTTTTTATACTTTATGTATGTTAGACAAAGTACATATGAGAGATCACATGATAAAGAGGCATAAGAATTGAGAGATAGTAACGTGTGTGCTAGTGAAGGCCATTCCCCTGCAGATCAGGGCCTGGACCTGAATACTCCCCTAGTGATCCTGGGCACAGGATTTAGTCAACCCTTTTCTCCTTGTGGTGAGATGGTCTGGTATCAGTGCCTTACTCTTAGGGTTCTGTGAGGAGTAAACAACCCATAAACTGCCTAATTCAACAGGAAGTATTCATAAAAAGCTAGGTTAGTTTTTACAAATTTGCTAGTTTCTTTTCTTCCCCCCAGGGGGAAGGGGGTGCATGCATGAGAGAAAGAGCCCCTCAGTTAAGTATAGTCAAACCACAGTCACTTTTCTTCTATTTCACTACCCCATCAGATGGATAGTTGTCATGTACATGTAACAAACATGATTTCAAGTCACCAGAGCCAGGATTTGAACCAGAGTCTGCATGTGGGCTGGAGCTTTTCATGCATATTGTTTTAATAACTGCATTGCAGAACTGACCCAAAACATGTGGTATTTTTTATGTTTAGATAGTTTTTACAAACATCTCATTTGATCATTTAAAAAGTCAACTAGTGCTAGATAACATTGGTATTATTACCATTTTAAAGATAGAATCAGATATACAAGTAACTACCTACTAGGCTAATTTGTAATTATTTTTTCCTTGAGAACTGAAGCAGGAGGGAATTTAACTCAGCTCCTTTAATTGAGGATTGCAGTTTATAATGTCAGTTGATGTGCCAACTTGAGATTGTGAGTCTTTTCTCATGGGGCTCCCAACCTGCTGCCCACTCACCATTCCCCAGGTCTTCATTCGTCAGATGGTCTTCAAAACCTTTTGTAACATCGACGTCACCATGTCATCACCTGCTCACTAAAAGCTGGTTGAGCCTAGATCTGCAACTTCCCCCTAGACCTGAATAGAAAGAGATTTGTAAATTCCTGTCTTGCCAGATAAAAACTGTTGATCCTATTTTATTGCTCACTGTGTTTAGAACTCATTCAGAGAGGGCTGTTCTACCTATATGCTTTAGCTTAGACCAGTCTCAGTATGACAGAAGGATTTATAATCACAGCATCCTGTCGCTGCCTCTCATTTTTGTCTTCTAAGCTCTGCCAGCTTTTTGTTTATTTCCTCCATGAGCCAGAGAGACAAAGAGCGAGCGAGCAGGCACCCCATGGTCTCCATGCCAGATCTTCCCCCAGCATTCAGCCCGCACCCAGAGCACACCCAGTGTGCTCCACGAAGTCTGTGGACTTTTTCATGCACTATTGTCTCACAGAGCACTTGGGTGTTTACCATCTTGGTCTGGCCCTTCCCAATGTAAACCAACAAAAGACAAACCTACTTCACTGTAATATAATCCACAGAACACAGTCCGGTGGTTTTTAGTATATGTACATAACTATGCAACCATGCCCACAATTAACTTAATAACATTTCTATTACTCCTAAAAAGAAACCTATTTAAAGCTTCCCTACTGCCAGCCTGGTCACCATCCCCTTCCGTCCTCCACTTCCCCATTCCCTTCACCTCATTCAAGATGGCTGCCCGCGGTCCCGCGATCCTGCGCCCTCTCACGGCCCCTCAGGCCTGCTTCCAGTTTCCGGGAGCTGCACACGGAAGCGTAGACAGGACAGGGCCCGGGGTGTTTCCATGCCCGGGACCGAAAGAGAAAGAGCGTTCAAAGAAATAAAGAGAGCGAAGGCTTGGAGGGTACAGGAGACTCAGGCCTAGGTCGGCAGTGAAGGCCTCACAGCTGGCAGAGCGCGAGAGCCCCGTTCTCGCGAGACCTGGAGACTCCCAAGGCTGAGCCCAGGGTGTTAGTGGGAACTGAAGCTCCAGGTGAGCGCAGAGGCTGGCCCACGGCCGAAATCCCGCGAGATTAGGAGGAACTCCCACGAGGTTAGGGCTCCGCGCGCGTGGCAGGGCCAAGGTGTAGGGCTGGAGAGTGGAGGTGTGAGCGCGTGGACGTCGCTCGCACGCGGTGCTTTTACAGCAATGATGGATTTGGAGGAAACGATAACTCCCGGTGGGTTTTCTGGGCGGGTAACTGAGCCTGCTTTGCAGTAGGTCACTCTGCCAAACATGCTAACGTGGAAACCACGTGTAATTTTGTTGTTGCGTTGGTTTTTGTCATACGGCATGTGAGCTCACCCGAGAGAGGGGGAGAGAGAGAAGGACAGAGAAAGTGACTTACCTCTCCCACCTCCCAGGGGAATGGCTACCCTGCATTCCCTTCTCCTCCATTCTCCTCTCTGCATTTTGGACATGTGTACTGCTGCTCCCAGTAGTACTAATAAAACCCTGGAGTTTCTGTTGCCGAGAGAGAAGGAAGAGCAGACCTTGGGTGGCAACAAGTTTCCGCCAGAGACCGTGTGCTTGGTGCCCTCCCTACAGACCCTCACCTCGCCCCATGGTTTTGCTTTGGCTTATTACATTTGCTAAAGGATGCACCTGCTCCCCAGAGAGAGGGAAAGGAAAAACGCACGCCCCATAATGGGAACATGGTCATGCCAGAGTCCCTTCTCCATTTCTCCATCCTGTCGGGTTTGGGGCATGCATGTACACGTCCTCAGCATGTACCTTAAGCTGCTGGGGCTGGGCTTTGAACCACAGTCAACCGTGTGGAATCTGGTTCCCTTTACCACTAGGCTATGGTTCTGGCCCTCTGACTTTTTATTTTATCACAGGACACATGCACTCACTAGAGACAGCCTGAGAGAGCGAGGAAATGAGAAATCACCCTCCAGGGAGGATGGCCAGGCCGCAGTTCCCTCTCCTCCATTCTCCTTGGGGTTTGGGGCACATGTGCCTGGTATGTTTCTCAAGCGGCCAAGTCCAGGACTCACACCATGGTCAGCCATGTGGAATCCAGCACCTCGAGCACCACGCCACCTGCTGACCCTGCGCGCATGTTTTAAAACTGATCTTGGGACCAGCAGGTGGCGTGGAGGTTAAGGCGCTGGACACTCCCACATGGCCAACTGCAGTTTGAATACTGGACCTAGTGGCTTGCTTTCTCACTTTCCCCCTCTCTCTCTCTCTCTGTGTGTACCTCTCTCCGGTCAAATTAAAATAAATGAATGAATAAATAAAATTAAATAATTATTTAAAACAACAACAACAACAAAAAACTCATCTTGCTCACCTGAGGAAACGCAGTTCTCATGGGCGCTCATGTGCACCAAGTGCACACCAGGGGCTGTCACTGC